TCATCCACACCCCCCGTCCTCTGCCTCACCCTCTTGTCCTCTGCCTCACCCTCTTGCCCACCTCGTCCGCCTCTTGCCCTCTTGCCCATTCGCCCATTCGCCCATTCGCCCTCTCGCCCATTCGCCCTCTCACCCGCCTCTCCCTCTCACCTGCCACGTCCCCGCTGTCTCACCACAACAACAACGACAGGCACAGAACGATAACGGCGGGCAGAGGGCAACAACGGTGGGCATGACAACGCCGATGGCAGGCACCCACCTCTGCCTCGCCCTTTTGCCCTCATCCACCTCTTGCCCTCGCCTTTGCCCTCGTCCACCCCTCGCTCGCCCTCTGCCTCGCCTTTGCCCTCTCGCCCTCTCACCTCTCGCCCTCTCCTTCGCCTTTGCCCTCTCACCCCTCGTCCACCCTCATCTGCCCCTCTCCTGTATCAGTTAGAAAAATATAGAAATACAAGGCAATTTCCTAACTATGAATCTAAGCCCTGGAGGGCAATATGCTACCTTCTGCTTTGGGAAGGCTCTCCTAATAAGAGGGAGGGGTTGCTGGGTGCCTGGCATCTGCAAGGGTGATGAGGAGGGGGTAAATAAATTAGTAAGCATCCATTTCCGGGGTGGGCAGGTGGTGGGAGGTGCAGGAGGGGGTGGAATGGGGGTGGGATAGGCCAAGCAGGACCCCAGGGCACTGCAGAGAACTGGTCATGTGACCTGTTTGCTCTGCAGCCTCAACTGGGGCTGTTTTTTGTGAAAAAAGTAGTCTCCCTAGACAGACCTAATAGATACAAATGATAGTCGATCGTATCTGATATAAGGTCTGTTCCGATTTGCGGGACCTTGGGTGGGTGGGTCAATTCGGCTTTTTCGGTCGTGAAGCAACGAACTTTCAACCATGTTGAGCATCACGTGAGGGCGGAATTGTATCTAATCTAATCTCATTAGGGGCTAGACAACCCATCCTCAATGTCTCATATGTCGAATAGTTCGCGTGCCATAGCATAGAAGCTTCCAATAAAGCTATCATGGGTGCCACTGCATCAAGAGAGGAGAAAAACACCAATCAACCATCTCTCATTGCAGATTTTACTCTTCGACAGTCTCAACCAGTCTCATAACCTCACTCGCCAAAATTTGGCACAAGCGGCGCAAAGTTCGATGCGACGCAAAGGCCAAACTGACACAAAACAGTGGCAGCAGTCGTCAATGCACTGAATGATGTCGGAGGGACACACCCGACATTGCTCTTCAGGCCTGTAAATAATGAGCAGGGCTTATGAAACAAGAGGCTGAGAAAATAGCTGACAGTAATTGAGATTCACTCGGAAGGTGCTATCTCACAAAATGGCGTCAACCTCGTGGGATTCGAGGTGCTCCGTTGAGAGAAAAACGACGGACCACTTTTATCAACAAATCTCAAGCAGCAAGTTCCAGCCCTTGTTTGAGGCTGCCTGCAACAATTCAGCAGTCACACAATGGGTCGTAAGGCCGTACTCCTTTATTTCTGGAGAGTAATGAGTTATTTTGGGTGGAAAAGTGAGGGAGAGTGACCGTACATGGGTGTTTCCCAGCTTGATCAACGGTGTCACCACCAAAGCCATAGGTTTCCGCAGCAGCTTGGGTGTCTTGACATTTAGTCAAGGGTTCTTGATGAGATGCTGCAGGACAAGAATAGGGCAGAGGAAGGCTGACGTTCTTCCCCATCCTGTCGAGGCAATGAGGATGGTTGGCATTCCTTGCAATGTGTGCTCAGCTTAGTTGGGCGAGGTTCACTGAGGTTCATTTGACCACTGAGGGACCTCTTGCTTAACGATCTCGCGAATGACCATTCGGCCCTCAAATGAGGTCCATGATAACAGTGGCAAGGGCAGGGAGCACAATGACATAGAGAGCTAACTAAAGTAAAGCTACCGAGCAATCATTGAATCAACAATGCGCAACATGATCATGTCACGTGTATCTGATGCCCATCATAAAGCCGAAGGTTTGAGTTCCATTTTGGGACAAAGGAACCCACCCACCCAAGGGGCTCCAAATCGGACAAGCCTATGAAAAAAGTGCCCAGGGCCAATGTGATAGTATGTTACTGTATGTCATAAAAAAATCAGGAGAATCTGGGATGTGGAATGTTGCGAAACGGCGCATATGAGGTGTCACCTTAACTTGGCATGCGTTTATTTTTAGCACAAGCTGCTAAATTGGGATCTGGCATCAAAATAGCCATTGCTGGTGCATTTCAGGTTCGTTTGGCTTCCCCCTGGGTGGAAATTGATGGGAACGATGATGCGATAATTTTTTAGGGAATTCATAGCTACCTGTAGACACCCAGAACATGTGAATATGACCATTTTTGGCGATGTTATGGCCTAAACTGTGCTTCTATGCACAAAAATGCGAAAATGCGCACCTAATGCTCTGCCTCTCATGCATCCCTGCCTCATAAAAACTAGCTGATAATTTAGTATGCTACTAGAGCTTCAGAACGAGCCAATAATAATGGCCTTGCATGCATTATTGGTTATGCAATGGGCCTTTTGATGTTTATGTGCTAAAAACCCGAAAAATCGCACTCAAATCTCTATGCCACACATGTATCTATCCTTCCAAAACATTATGTGTTCAGATAGAGGTTAATTCCCTAAAAATTATTGTGTCATTGTTCCCATCAATTTCCACCCAGGGGGAAGCCAAACGAACCTGAAATGCACCAGCAATGGCTATTTTGATGCCAGATCCCAATTTAGCAGCTTGTGCTAAAAATAAACGCATGCCAAGTTAAGGTGACACCTCATATGCGCCGTTTCGCAACATTCCACATCCCAGATTCTCCTGATTTTTTTATGACATACAGTAACATACTATCACATTGGCCCTGGGCACTTTTTTCACAAAAAACAGCCCCAGTTGAGGCTGCAGAGCAAACAGGTCACATGACCAGTTCTCTGCAGTGCCCTGGGGTCCTGCTTGGCCTATCCCACCCCCATTCCACCCCCTCCTGCACCTCCCACCACCTGCCCACCCTGGAAATGGATGCTTGCTAATTTATTTACCCCCTCCTCATCACCCTTGCAGATGCTGGGCACCCGGCAACCCCTCCCTCTTAGAAGAGCCTTCCCAAAGCAGAAGGTAGCATATTGCCCTCCAGGGCTTAGATTCATAGTTAGGAAACTGCCTTGTATTCTATATTTTTCTAGCTTACATGGCTGCCCGTGTCCATTCCCATGGATCCCAATGTCCACCTCACTTCTGCCCAGTCTCCATCGACCACGGACGAGTTCGCGCAGATGCGCAATGTGCCCTACCACACCGCCATGGGTTCTTTGATGTATGCGTCACTCGGAATGCGCCCCGACATCACCTATGCTGTCCAAACTGTCTTGCGCTTCTCCACAAAGCCTGGAATCGCGCATTGGGATGCTGTCAAGCGAATCTTTTGCTACCTGAAGGGAATGAAGGAGTTATGGCTGTCATATGGAGGACAGCAGAAGGAGCTTGTTGGATACACAGATGCGGATGGGAACATGGCTGAGGATCGCCATGCCATCTCTGGGTATGCATTCTTACTTCACAGAGGTGCCGTTTCATGGTCTGCTAAATGACAGGAGATCATTTCACTCTCGACAACTGAGAGCGAGTACATTGCTGCGACGTACGCCTCAAAGGAAGCCCTATGGCTTTGTTCCCTCATCTCCCAACTCTTTGACACATCACTTGGCTCCACCACACTATTTTCGGACAACCAATCAGCAATCACACTCGCAAAAGACCATCAATATCACGCTAGAACAAAGCATATCGACATCCAATTCCACTTCATCCGTTGGATCGTCAAAAACGGATCCATCCGCCTTGTCTATTGCCCTACCAATGAAATGGTGGCCGACACACTCACCAAGGCACTTCCCTTGCCAAAGGTCAAGCATTTTGCAACCGAACTCGGACTCATCTCGGTTTGAAGGGGAGTGTTGGAATATGGACGGCAAACCCAAGTTGATCCCGCTCCATTTCGGCGCCCGTGCCTCTAGCACCGCAGTCCCGCCACAAGTATGTACAATATCTCTTTCTTTTGTTCACTCTCCATGTTACATAGCCTCGCATTTATTCGTGTACCTGCACTATTCTTTATTGCGCATTTTCCCTTCATTTTATCCCTGGGATATTCAATCCCATTTCTCTCCTGTTTTACTTGTTTCCATTGAGTACTCTATGGACAGTGTACTTACTATGTATATAAGCTATGGACTCTCGTTGTCTCCCCTCAGCCGTTTGCTTCCCAAACAACTGAGGTGAGTTACCTTCCTGTCCTTGTACTTTCTCGTGTACTTATGTCGTTACCTAGACTTCGTGCTAGGTATTTAATTTATCTCTCAGCTGTTTGCTTCCCAAATGACTGAGACTTCGTGCTAGGATTCTTACATTGAGCTTGAGCCCTCGTGGACCACTATCAGTCACCACTTCGACTTGTCCCAGAGGATGCTGACAGAAGAGGTCCAAAGGGTCCCATCAAGTCCTACAGATTTTCATTTCTCTCCCTTCTACGCCACAACCTGGTCGGAGAAGCGGATTTTTTGCGGCTGTGATATTATTCATCATCATGAGAAGTTCAAGCAATTCATCGGGGATAAGCGCAAGACGAGGACATATAAGGTGCCTACATCTGTCATCCTTGCATCCTTCAAGTTCTGACAAACGCTTCGCGTGGGTCTGCGGGTATCAATAAGAAAAAAATTAATAAGTTAATCTACGACTACTAATGGAACAAGCGCTTGTACAGCTATAAATTGAATGTAGACCGCGAATGTGGGGTCCACTCCTCCTCCTTTTCGGCATCTATCGTGCGATAATCTCTTGATGTCTCGAAATCGTCACCCAGTTTCCCCAGTGCTCTTGTCATCCTAGCTCTAAAGACGATTGGCTCTTTTGGTCTTGAGATCACGTTCGTCTCCACGATGTCGATCCCAGCTGAAGGAGCTGAACGTAGATTAAGCACGAGGCGAGAGATCATCAACGTCGTCATCATGGCTGAAAAAGGGGCTCCTATGGGCTTGAGGTCGTTTGGCGCCAGCTGTTCTACTTTGTCAGACAATCCGAGCAACATAGTAAAGATACACAGGACGCACAAAGAATAGTAGGGCGTTGACGAAATTCATCAGAAAAATGGCGAGGAAGTAGAAGATTCCGTCGCGCAAGAATATATGAATCATTCTGAGAGATATTCAAGTCAGTTTCGGCCTCTGAAGAAATTCGCGCGAGACTGTTCGTACGGAATTTTTTGAGAAGACCCGATGTATGGACGAATACGCCAGAGTGTCAGCGCAAAAATTGCAGTATCTGTCACCAATGGCCCGATCCAAATTGCATCTGGAGAGAAATGAGAACGGAACTAACATCGCGACAGCGCACTCACAGAACCATTTGCTTGTTCCTGTGAGGATACATCCTATATAGTGGCGTAGATGTGAGACGAAGCGGGAATTCCACTACAACAAGCAGTCGTACCAACAAAGGCGGGGCCAGGAGGGAGATGAACGGCTTCAGAACGCGTCAGACAAGGCGAGATGTCGCGAATAAATGGGCTCACCGAATCCTGTGCTAACACCCTTTATCGATACGATAAGCTGCGCAAGCCATAGAACGGCGAGGAATGCGAGGACTCGGTTTGATCGTCGGTATAGCGCGTACACGCGGAGAATCATGATCACTGGTTGAAGTGTCTAAATGAAACCATACGCCGAGGAGCGTGTTTTCCGTACCTTCGCAGACTGCAATGTGGACGCCATCATGGAGGAACAATGAAGGACTTCGCATCACGTACTGCTTGACATAATCCCACTCACATACCCCACGAATGGTACAAAATCATCACATCTGACGAGAACTCGAAAATAAGACTTGAAGATTTTTGTGTCGGGAAATGGCGCTCACGCCTTGCCCACCCACTTCGGGTGGTGGAATGCTTGAAATAGGAATAAGGGACAGAAATGGGCCATCTAGTTGAGAAGACTTACCAGTGATGACGATGATGTATTGCAGTGGGGTGATGTATCGATTGAGGTAGAATAGCAGTGATGCGCCCGTAAACCGATGCTTCCAGATGCGCTCGATCTGAACCCGAAGGACAACGTAGTTAGTAATCGGCATGAAAAAGCAGAGGAACAAGTTAGACGAACCTCTTGGGGGAGTGTCGAAACTTCGGAATGTGAACATTGTCAGCAGGCCACTGCTGACTGAAGAGTCTACACACCGTGGTCATATATCAATATGGTGAACGCCGCCATCTGAACGCATTTCCCCGCGCGCCTGTGCGATCGGTCGGTGAGCATCGCTCGAAATTTTCGGACTGAGGACTCACAGATTGTGGGCAACGCGCACTAACGTTGCGGGGTCTACGGATTGGACGGAAGACATGGCCGCTCGGATGGAGCTTTCGCGACAGTCGTGATTTTATATCCCCCTCAAACGCCTAGATGTCCGTGCCCTTGGAGTAAATCACTGAGCCATCTGGAACACATCTGAAGCTTGTCAATCCTACTCACAGTTGTCATTGGCATGTCATGAGGCGAATCACAGGCCTCAAAGTTGAGCAGAATCTTGTTTTGATGCCACTTCGAAAGGAGGTTTTTGTGCTTCTTTGATGAGCTTATCTCGGGGTTCATCAATGGAAGATGCACTGAGTAGAGGGGGAACAACGAGGTCTAACAAGGTCAGCCAGAGGATTGAAGACTCTAAGTATAGTAGACTTTCCTCAGCTCGATAAAACACATAGTAGAGGATCTTCAGGGTTCACTGAGGAATTGAACCAAACCGCTTATCGCCCCGAATATCAGCGCTTACCCATCGCCTTCCGTCATTGGGGCAAAACAAGCGACAAACTCTGGCAAAATATATCCTCAAAAGGAGTGTGATCTGACGACGACAACTGCACGAAATCCTTCGGTTTCCTGCGTTCCGGATGTCCGTAGACTTGACCTCGGGGTTTCTCGTCAGGACTCAGATTTACCTTAACCGTCAGTGAGACAACGTCCGGCGGGAGAAGACGATCACCTTCCCGAATGCCGGCCTCTAGATGTCTTCATGTAAAGGCGAGCCCACACCATGGGGCACTTGAAGCTGGGTCCGAAGGTTGTGTTCTCAGCTGCAGCCATTCATTGAGGCTGTGCGCCATGCAGTCGTCGATAACCGGCTGGAAGACACGGAATTGTCGACGCCAAAAAGGATAAAATAATGTAAGAGTACAATTACACTGGTGGCGATGATCTTGGACGCGGTCTCCATTCGTGGGCGTTGGAAGTAGTCTTCGATGTCTCAAAGTCTTCTCCCAAGTTGCCAATCACCCTTGAGACCGCAGAGTCAAAAGCGATAGACTCTTTCGGCCGCGTCAACATGTTTGATGGTACGAGATCAACACCCGCAGACTTGGCCGACCGCAGATTGAGGACTAGACGTGATATCATCACGGCAGTCATCATGGCGCTAAAGGGTGCGCCAATGGGTTTCAGGTCTTCCGGGGCCAACTGCGTAATTAATCAAATAGACATTGTGGTCAGACTATAGCCGACGGCGCGGGGTTAAATCAGCTCACAAAGAATAGCAGTGCATTCATGAAGTTCATGAGGAAGATGACAAGGAAATAGATAAGACCATCCCTGACGAAGATATGCAATAGACTAGAACGAAAGCTTGAGTGGCGATCCAAGTTTCGATAATGAACGAGACTCACGGGATCGATTCGGTAGAACGGATATATCTCCGAATGCGCCACACCATTAGGACGAAGATGGCAGTATCCGTCACCAGTGGGCCGACCCAGACGACAGCTGGAACTTGATGAGAAGGGGGTAAAACGATAGGGAGGACTTGCTAACAAAACCAGTTGTTCGGTCCTGTCAAGATACATCCTAGATACCAATGGCGGACGCGAAGTCAGTCATTCGAAGGATCTCACTTTCGCAGTGGGCGGCATACCGACAAATGGAGGAAAAGGTGGTAGTTGAACGGCTGGCCGAGGGCGCTTCATAAGACGAGTGAAGGGATAGGCCCTTTTTGCTCACCAACACCCGTACTGACGCCCTTCAAAGAGATGACAAGTTGCAGAAGCCATAATGACCCGAGAAACGCGAGGATTTTGTTTGAGCGTCCATATAGCGCATAGACGCGTAAGATCATGATTACTGGGGGTGGATTAAACAGTGATCGCATGGTAGTGGGAAGATCCCGTGTCTACCTTCGCAAACTGTCAAGAAACGATAAGGTGGATGTCTTGAGGGGAAGTTGGAGTCGACGCACTATTTGACATTACTGCACTCAAAGCGCCTTCAAACATAACAAAATCATCACACCTATGGAAGAAACGATCAGTAGGTATGAAAAAGACTTTGGGTTGTTAGGCACACTTACGCCTTTCCCGTCCACGTAGGAAGGTGAAACGCTATCCTCGATGTCAGTCCTAAGTGTGAAGGCACAGTTTGCGGTACCTTACCTGTAATGATCACGATATATTGTAGTGGAGTGACGTATCTATTGAGCAAGAACAGGAGGGCCGGTCCCGTTACCTTTTGCTTCCATATCCGTTCGACCTACAAGAGTGAGAGGGTCGAAAACGCTGATGGCACGGTCATATGATGAAGCCGACCTCCAGAGGAAACGTCAAAGCTAAGGGCGATCACCGTCAACACCACCAACACGTATTTATCGTGAACCGTAGCCTTACCGTGGTCATAGATAAGGATCGCGAATGCGGCTAGCTGGACGCATTTCGCATCACGGCTGTGTGCGTCATTTCTCAGAAGGGTTTGAGGAACAAAGGACAAAAGAAGGCGACTTACAGGTGGCTGGCGACGCTTACCAGAGTCTCAAACTGTGCAGGCCCGGGGAAAGACATCAGGGGGATTATTCATGCAGGAACGGCTTTATATGGAAGCCCCTTCACGAAAACCTTGCAACAGTATCACCCTGTGAAAGGAACACAGACCATATCCAGGGCTTCTAAACTATAGAATCGAACTCCCAGGTGCGGCTGACGGACGAATCGGGACGGGAGAATTGAGCAGCTAAACCCACTTTGACAAAACAGAAGTCGGGTTTGGCGGGCTGTTTTGACATTGTGGGAGCAGAACTGGGGATGGAAGGCTGGAACGAAACATGAGAAACGTCAAATATTCTGCAGAAAAGATTAAAAATTCTGATCGTTTTGACTCCAGACTAGACAGAACGGTCGAGGAGCTTACCATCAGTTTAGCTGTGGCACTTTTTCATTTCATCGAGTTGGCGGAGAATCGTAATGTGCAATTGGGTGTATTGTAGCAGTGCCCTTCGCAACCCGCTTCTGGGTCAAGGCGTAACACAGCACTCCTCATATCCACGTATAATCCCTTATAATCTGGAGGGAAGCCTTCTCAACGCCCAGGATTGCTCAATCAGTGATATGTAGGCTTGAGAATAAACGTCCTAAACGGAGTGAAATGGGGGCCTGTGTGCAGAAAAAAGACATTGATGGGAAGGGTGAGGGTGTCGACAAAAGGCTACGGACACACCCATGGATACGGTTGATGATTCACCTCAGTTTTCTATCTTATAAGAATCCTCCCCGCTACCCAGCTTTCTTTGATATGAATCATGATCATTGTGTTGTTGGAAGTCGTTTTAGCATTCAGAATGGGTAGATGCCCTCGGCGACATGAAACTAACAACCCGAAGCGAAGTAGAAAGTAATTTAGTACGCGTAAAACTAGATGTTGTATTCGACTCACATGCGCTGAGCCTTTTCAAGTAGCTTCGGCAAGCTGACAGCAATAAGTACGTGGTGATCTTTAATTGAAGTTTATGGCAGGGACTTGAAATGGTGGACCAGAGCATCCTTTCGAAAGGTTTCTTGCGCGATAGAACCATGGTAGCTTCTAATTCTCTGGAGGAGCATGATGGGAGGGGAAAAAATGGTTGTCGCCAGGTTGTCACTTCAAGCCGTGACGAGCGACCGGGCCGACGATGCTATGCGCTACAGGGACATCGCTGACAGTTTTGATTCTTCAACTGTGTGCCTCAAAATCAGTTCTCGAGTGTATGGACTCTGAAATACATCTAGAAGTAGTACAAGCTATAGTAATGCACCAGCCCCACAGATTATATAACGCTATTTTACACTTCAGATGAAGATGAATCATGATGGTGGTGGCTGCCTCCGTCCTCGTTGTCGCTCGATATTGAATCATAATCTTCTGCCGTCTCAAAGTCCTCGACGAACGTGTCAACAACTCGGGTGGCTATTGCCGCAAACACTAAGCCCTCCTTCGGTCTCGTCAGTGCCATTGACGAAGGCATATTGGAGGACGGCGCCGCTCGTAGATTGAGGACCAGGCGTGAAAGCAACACGCAGGTCATGATGGCGCTAAACGGTGCAACTAGGAACTTCAGGTCGGCCCAAGCAAACTGCCCGAACAAATGTGTGAGTTTAATCAGGCTGAACCGACGTGCAAAGCGACACACTTACGAAAAACATCAAGACGTTGACGAGATTCATCAAGAATATGGCCAAGAAATACATCGTCCCATCTCGCAGGATGATGTGAAGTATACTTGAGACAGAACGCGTCAGAGAAAGCTATGCGCTTGTCCATCGAAGCGTAAAGAGAACTTACGGCAAGCTTTCCGGTGAAGAGAGGTACTGGCGCACGCGCCACACGGTGAGGAAGAAAATGACGCTGTCGCCCATGAGTGCGATCACCCAAATAGCGGCTGGAAAATCATGAGACGGAAATCGGGACTTGCACGAAAAATTTCTCACCAAACCAGTTACTCGGGCCCGTCAAAATGCATCCTACGTGGGATCGTTCGGGTCAGCTTACTCCTCCAAGCTCGGGAAGTGGGCATTCCTACCGACAAATGCTGGCCCTGGAGGGAATTTCACGGCTAGCAGTCCGCAAGAATGGGTCAGAAGATTCGGTGGCTATGCCGGGAGACTTGAGCTCACCGAAACCCATACTAACACCTTTCGACTGTACAATGACTTGCACAAGCCAAAGTGACATCAAAAAGCCCAGAATGCGATTTGACCTTAGGTATAACCCGTACACCCGTAGGATCATAATCACTGGTTGTAGAAGACATTCGGTACCGAGCGAAGAATACTCGACACACTGACTTACATTCACAAACTAGAAGGTAAGTCATAAGGAGACCACCGACGACTAGAACTCGGACGACGCACTACTTGCCAGTGCACCACTCGTGGCGCCTTCGAAGAGGACAAAGTCGTCACACCTAATTCGCAAGAAACTCGTAAGCCAATGCCTCGTTGCTCAACTAGTTCACCTACGTCTTTCCTGTCCATTTCGGATGATGAAATGCTGAACCGGACTTCAGATGCGGTGGTTTGTGGATTATGAGAGGTACTCGCCGACGATGACAATGAATGAACTGGAGCGGTGTTATGTACCGATTGAGGAGAAAAAGCAGAGTTGCTCCTGAGAACTTTTGCTTCCAGACGCGGTCAAACTGTGGGTACGAAGAACATCGAACTTTCAAGGTTATGCCGAGCAGTCTACGCAACGGTAAGCGAACCTCTAGTGGGAAGGTAAGCACTGAAAAGTAGTGAGAGGATATCAAATGCAATAGACTATTGACATACAATGATCATATATTAGAATCGTAAACGCCGCCAACTGGACGTATTTTGCCGTGCGACTAGATAATCGCTGTCAGAGAGGTTTCAATGGAGACCTAGACCGACACAGGACTGACAGGTTGTTCGCGATGCCCACCAGAGTCTCAGGATCTGGAAGGCCATGCAAGGACATCGGAATTGGGAGGGACAGATTGCACAGAAGCCGTCTTATAAGCCCTTGACATGATCAGCTAGTCATTCATCGTCCCGTGGAACATCGACAAAAACAGCCCCACCGTTACGTTACACCTGGGTTCTTCAAACTACTAGTGGCGACGGGCGAATCATTGCACGACGACAGATTGTCCACAGTTCTTCGGGCGAAGTGTTCACATGCTGGGGTCTTTTCTGATGGTTATGTTTGGGATAGTACTGCCATACCCAGTCGCAATGTGATTCCGCGACACCCGACGAGTGCGCGTCTACTTATTCCTGGCACAGGGTGACCGTCAATCGGGGACTGAGTTCTTGGTGATAGATAGAGGTCAGAGCTATCCATCATGATGTTGCTGGCCGCCGTTCGCTGTGGGTGTCAAAGAGCCTGTCAGAGCTTCCTTGACGGGCGGGTTGCACCAATGGCGACGCAGCGCACGTCCGACTTCGATGGAGACGGGGCAATGCATAGCAGCTGGTCCTCCAAAAGCCCTCAGAAGGTGATGTGGACTCTGGCGGGCCTCGCAGAAAGAAGGTGAGATGGGAAAAGAGGTCTAAGACCGTGGGGTGGTATACGCCCCAAAAACATTTCCCATCGACAAATACGTGCTTCGCATAGAGCTGAGTGAACGCGCGCCACTGCCAGCGCGTTTCGTGTACTATCATGAGCTCGAAGGTTTTGGAGAATCATAGTAGAAGAGCCATTGGAACGGCAGAGAAATCTCGTAGAATCCTGCACGCTCGTAGACTAGCGAGCTGATGGGGCTCCTGTGGGATCTGAGAAAACTTGTAGGTACAATGAGGAAGACAACTTACAAAACTCTTCATCTGCTAATGAATGACCTGGTTCTTCTTGCCGTGTTTGCCGTGCAATATGCGATTCATATCCATGCACACTCACACCTACGCCCATACGGCTCATCTCAGGAAGAATCTCCCCTTCAGACGGAGCTCGGCTACGGTGGCAGTGGAACACGTAGACGTGGACGACGCCAACGACGCGTCGAGTACGGGGAGGTCGTGCGGTGCGATCGCTGGCGGGGGCGGCACGATTGTTGTCAGGTCCTGGCTTGCTAGGGAGGCGGAGTGGTCTGAGGGCGATTGGGAGGAGGGGTCGGCGGAGTTGGCAGACGAAAGGGAGGAAGCGGAAGTCGAAGAAGAGGGAATCTAGAAGTCGCTCGTAAACAACGAGTTGTCGACCTCCGAAAGTGGCGAGTCGTCCCTTTCCAACGGGTGGCTGGCGTCGTCCATCGCGGCATCGTTGATGAGGCGGCAGGATCACCGTACCCGAAGAAAGGGTTCATACCCATCGCATTCATCACCATATTGTTGAACCGCGTGATATTAAACGCCGACCCGTTGGACCCAGAACTGTACGCAGGCATAGCCCACGACCTCCGGCCCACAAACGCGTTGGACCCCATCGGCTGGGCGGAAGACGCGCGGCGCTGGCAGAGCATCTGTTGCTGTGCGTGCGAGACTGAGTTGACCGGGAGATGAAGGGTACGGAGGGGAGGGCGATGGTTTTGGGTTGGTGGTCCCTGGCCATGGCGAAAGCTCCCCCGGAAGCTAAGTAGCCTCTCCGTCCCGTTCCCCTCCCTATCCAAGCTCCTTGCAGCCTCCTCGCCCTTCATCGCGTTTAATAGTAGTAGCGCGACCCGGTCGCACCTAATCTCCTCGATGGACTGCTGAGGCGGCTTCTTCGCTGCGAAGGACGTAGCTAGACGAGCCATGCTTGCACATGCGGGAGGCAGGAGCCAAGGAACATGGCTTTGTCTTTTCTTGCTTCCCCTTGACTTCTCCGAGGGATTTCTCTTCGAGGAGGTGCAGGACCCACTGCTGCACATACTAGGTCAGTATATGCGCATATACGAACAAAGAATCAAGAAACATGCACCGATGATCTTGCGCAACGACCCGAGGTATTTCTGCCTCACAATGAGTGAAAGTCCTCATTAGGCCCAACATAGGTACTAGGGGTGACATTGAGCACGACTGGGAGCATTTGGACGCCGTCCTGCTTGATACTGTTGCACCTGAGAGTTTATACGGGAACGAAGGATTCGGAAGGAATAAATGATAACGGAACATTACATAAGTACAAGAGAAAGCGGTCCTGCGATCCACGCGATCACGTGGGCATGCTGGAAACCGACGCGCATTAAGCTTGGCATCTGTACCTTGTCCAGAGCCACCACAATCCTCCATTCAATTGTTCATCGGTGAGCAATGCCACAAAACGTGTTCTCCACCAACTTATTCCCTTACAGGAACACGTTTTTGCTGCAAAGCGTCGCGCCTGACTCATTGTTGAGTACCACACGGGAGCCACATCAGGGCCACTCCTCGACATATAAATCCAACATGGCCCCCTCAATAGAAATGTCCTCATCTTCTTCCGATTCCTCATCTTCGACCTCATCTTCGAGCTCGTTTACCTCGACTTCTGAGCAAGGATCATTCCAGTATTCATCTGGTGAGTTGCAGCAGTCATCCAGGAGAGCACCTTTCCATTGACGCAGACACACCGAAGATTCAAGTATGATAACCCCAACCAGGGGAAACGCTGCCACCCTCAGCATTGGTACCGCCTCGGAAGCCAGAGCGGAGCTCAAGATTGAATTCAAGGGCCACATCTACAAGCCCATCTCCGTTGCAGACTTCGCAAAGCATGTTTGGGGGCTCGACCCAACTGTCGTCGACAACATCCTGACCATGGATTTGACGCTTTGCGAAGATGCCTGGAAGAGGTACAAAGACGTTACTCGTGGTGCCAAAGGCATGATTAGGGAGCCGAAGCTTCACCAACCCTTCCGCGACATCTCCAGCAGCCTGCTCGAAGTGGTGTGCAACAAACTCGGCGTCGACTATGCGACGACGGTCAAGGACGACTTCTGGGATGGGGGTGGCTCGAAGTACATCAAATCTCGATTCTCTACCACGCGCAGGAAGCCCGACATGCTTCGGGGTTGGCTGCCCTTCAAGGAGGATATTATTGAGTGGGGCGAGACGAAGAGTGCTCTCGAGTTCAAGCTTCCATCAGCCAATGAAGGGCAAAAGGGAGGACGAGCGCCGGACACACCGACTCCAGCAAGCAAGTCGAGGACGTGTTCTGGGGCTAGTTTCACTCTACCTTCCATTCCCGAAGGAGCGGCGGCGACGAGCGCCTTGCTCACTACCAGTCGTGGAGCAACAACTGCCCCTGCTCATACCTCGAAACGCCTTTCCGATATGACGAGCACCTCGCTCACCAAACGCAGTCGCGAGGCGGTAAATGCCCCTTCACGTAGTTCAACGCGTCTTTCCACGAAAGCTTCGGCAAGTGCCTCGCGTTCATCGCACGCAGATATATCAGAATCTCGCTCGAATATTCCCCCACGCGCCTCACGTCCCTCGAATCTCCCAACCTCAGCGTCTCTCTTGGGTATTGATTCCCCATCCCTCACAAAGATTCCACAGCAAAGAGAGGCCATACTCCGATATCTTTCCCAGTCCCAACCCGCCAGCTCCACGGCACGGAGCCGGTCGACAGCTGGCAGTAGGTCAGTCTCCACCAACTCAACCTCCACCAAGCGAAACATCAGCGATATTGATGGCGCAGACGAAGCCTCGGAGCCCAAACGCGTTCGCAGGGATGTAGAAGTAGTCACTCGACAAACGAGGAACGCCCGAATCCAGATCGTAGGCGACCATTTGCAGCTCGCCACGTACGCGCTCGAGTGCCTGGGTGATTCGAGTCGCCACTATACGACAGGCATCTTTGTCAAGAAGACGACCATGAGCCTTTGGTACTATGATCGCGCCGCCGTGGTTCGGACCGTGGACTTCGAATTCCACAAGGGTGACGGCCCTAAGACGCTCGCTGTCGCCCTTTATGCACTGAGCCAAGCCAACATGAAGCAAGCTGGATTCGACCCCTTCTTACGTGAATTCAAGGCTCCCAAAAAGAACGGTGTTGTCAAACTCTCGAACATCCTCCCTCTCACTCGCCCTCAGACAAAGTCTACGAAGAAACCGCTCTGTTTCCATTTTACGACCAAAATCGTTGGACGAGATGGAGAAATCACGACGGTTGACACCATCTTCGTGATCATAGGAACCCTATACACCTACAGGACCATCATCGGCCGTGGAACATACGTCGGAATGGGGTTCTTGACGACAATCGGCTGCCCACTGTCCAACATCCCACGGATCATCAAGCTGAGCTGGCAGTACAACATCCGTCGACAAGAGGCCGAGCTTCTTACCACTGTCCGCAAACAATTGCCTAAGTATTGGCACAACCACCTCCCGGAGGTCTCCTTCAGCGCGGTCTATACAGCGGAGGAGCTCGAATTGCCGACTAGCAAGATGGAGCTGGAAGATGCTGATGAGGAGAACCCAATCCAAGGCCGCCGCCTCCACGCTAGCGTGATGGGGTTCTATCGCAAGCTTGAGGATGCATCCTCTGTCGAAGAATTTAGACAGATCTTCCTGGATTGTCTCGAGTGTATGTCGATTCTTTCTCCTCACCCTCATTCCGAAATCTAATCATTTTCCGCGTTTTTGTGTGTAGGCCACTACCACACCTATAACACCGCTCGAGTCCTACATCGCGACATCAGCGAAAACAATCTCATGTTCGCCCATCCAGAGGATACCCCTGAGACCGATAGAAAGTTTGTTTGGCCAGCGGGTAGTCCCTCTGTCCGCGGCATTCTCAACGACTTTGACCTCGCTTCGGAGCTAGACGCTGAAGGCAAAGTTCCTGCTAGCTCTGCAAACCACCGTACTGGAACCCTTCCCTTCATGGCGAAGGATCTTCTCCAGAATTGGCCGAAGTCTGTTCCTCCACCGACGCACCACTACCGACACGATCTTGAGTCGTTTTTCTACATTCTCATCTGGGCCATGACGCAATACACCCTCGAGAAAGACGAAGACGGAAATTCCATCCGGGGGCCTCTCCCAGAGGACCTCGAAGGCTGGAACGTCAGGGAGTCAGCCTCTGTTCAGAAGGGTGACTTCTATGTCTCTGCGATATTCAACACTCTTGATGAGTCTGTTCTTCCCCATTTCAGAGAGCTGTGGAAGAAATGGGTTATCAGTCTTTTCCTACTCTTCCGAGCAGCAATGCTTAGTGCTCCGCATCCCATGCAGCCATCCTATAAGGAATATGACTTCGCAACATATAATGGCCAAATCACCTTCCAGACTTTTATGGCGGCAATGGGTGAGACACCACGCGGTCTTGATCCTAATGGTGAGCGCGTTGCGGCCACCGATGTACCCTTAGCAGCAGCTGGAGCATAGAGTAGACATTTCATACTTATTATTGGTCTCTCTACATACTTGGATTTCCTCGAATTCAATGTCTTCAACCATATGTAATGAAGTTTTCCTACGGGAATCATCAAAGACAAAGACATCCACTCGACCTAGAGAAAGTGGCCCTGGCAGCTGGAGCCTTTGCGTCCCTTGAAGCCCGTCCGAGAGTGCTGACCACGAAACCTTCTCTAAAAGCCGACCTTGAAGTTTGAAGGATGAATGCTATCTTTTACTCTCCGTATTATCCTCTCCCACCATCCCAGTCTCCATTGCAGACTCGAGTAAGTACGTTCTAGAGTAGATAGATACAGGCAGGACTACGTTTAAATTGTCAATATACCCTCAGATATGCTACTTATTGGTCTATGAAACACCATATTCTTTATCCGCATGTAAGATCCAACATTTAAATGAAGCTGTGGTAGGACATGATAGGGAACGATTCCGGTTCAAAGGAGAGGAGACACGGTGAAGCAGAAGACTGGGGTGGCCGACCTAGCTAGCCGGTGGGCGAAACAAACAGAGAAGCACGCTGGCACTCCATATCCATTTCCTCATCCGGGCCGTGCTGCAAAATGTTCTCGCTCGCAACGTCAGCCTGAGTCCACTTACATACTTTAGTTCAAAGTTGGCAGTCTGACGCACTCATCTCCTCCCACCCAAAACCCAAAGAACCAAAAGATATCGCTACATTTTATCAAACCACAGAACTAATTACTCATGAAGGCTGTATCTAAGTTAACATAAACACATCAATGTCGACGGGACAAGTAAAGGCTACAGTGGGGTTTCAAACAGGATAGCAAGCAGACGAGACGAGGTACGAGGAGGGTAGGAGACAAAACAAGACGACGGAGGTGGTAGGTGGGATGGGAGGATATGAAGAGAAAGAGGAAGGAATAGATAGAGTAAGGCTACAGCGGTATATACGAGTCAAGTAAGCAAGCAAGATCCAAAGTTTATGTGGGGTGTTTTTCGTGAATGGCGTGGAACGGAATGGGGATGATGAAGAAGAGATAACAACAACAACAACGACGACGACAACGGATTAAAAATGGCAGAGCGAGAAAGAAAGGCGGGGCGCAGCACCGACGGAGACGAACAAAGAGGACGACGATGAGGACGGCAGGCTCAGACGACCAGCTTACATCACATAATCCTCAAACACCGGCTCGAAATGCTGCTGCTGTCCTTGCCCATGTCCATGGTCTCGTTGACATTGATGTACATCCCCAAAGACCGTAGCAGTCGGCGTCTTCTCCTGCATGTGCGGGCTACCCGCCTGCTTCGCCACCGGCGCATGTATCAGCGCATCAACGCCTATCTCCGCGCTCAGCGCACCATACCCTCCCATATGCGAGTGGTGGTCCATATCCATGGCGTACCCGTGCGCGGCGTGCTCGGTGTAGTCGACGACGTCGAAAGGGCTGATCCCCATAGCGCCGTGCATATGCGATCCATATCCGTGCATACCCATCCCACCCATCTCCGGAAGCACCTCCTCGCTCGGCGCCGGGCTCCCAGTGACAGACGCGGTGGTAGCCGTCGACGCTGAGCAAGTAGAGGTAGACGACGCCAACGACGGATCCACCTCGGCCCACCCCATCCTTGCAGCATCGAGGTCAAGCGCGGGGAGGTCATGTGGTGCGATCGACGGTGGGGTCGTCGTTGGGTCTTGGGCGGTCATCTGTTGTGAATGTTGTGATTGGGTGGGAGCGGCATCGGTCGTAGACGAGTGAGAAGAGGTAGACGTGGATGACGAGAACGAGAAGTCCGAGGTGAATAAGGAATTATCGACCTCCGGAAGTGGCGAGTCGTCCCTCTCCAACGGGTGGCTGGTGTAGCCCACCGCGGCGTCGTACCCCATGTTGCCGTCGTACCCCGAGACGGTACCATCATACCCCGAGGAAGGGTCTTCGTACCCAAAGAAAGGGTTCATCCCCATCGCATTCATCCCCATACCATTGAAGTTCGTAGCATTGAACGTAGAATTGTTGAACCCAGCGCCGTACGCCGGCATCGTCCACGACCTTCGCCCCATAAACGCATTATTGAACCCCATCGGTTGAGCAGACGATGCGCGGCGCTGGCCGAGCGTCTGACGGGAAATGCTGTTTACAGGACTCGCCGGCCGCGATTGCGACATGAAGGTTACGGATGGGAGGGCAATGGTCTGGGGTTGGGGGTGGGCGATATTGGTAGTGTTAGACGTGGAGGTGGGGTTGAAGGAAGAAGAGAACCCCATCGACGAGAATGAGGTTCGTGCGAAGGCGCAAACGACGACGACGAGGAGAAAGCAGCGGGGTTGTACCAATCGTTCGGCAGCGGGACGGACGACGAGCGGCGGTGTCCCAGGAACGAGGTGGGCGGTGCCAGACGATGCGTACTGCGCTTGAGGTTGTGAGAGCGTAAGCGGCATGAAGTCCTGCGGGAGCGGACTATCGAACGGGCTCTGGCTGGCACTGAGGTTGTGCTGCCCATGCCCATGGCTGAAACTCCCGCGCGCTGAAACCAACCCCTCCGTGCCCTCCCGCTCCCTATCCATGTCCAAGCTCCGCACAGCCTGCGCCAGCTCCTCGCCCTTCATCCCGTTCAGCAAAAGCAGCGCAACCTGGTCGCACCGGAGCTCCTCCTCGACCGTCTGCTGCGGCTTTTCCTTCTTGCCCGTGGAGGTGGAGGTGGAACCAGCGGAGCCGTCCTTATTCTTGTTCTTGTTATGCACGGGTCTGAAGCGGTAGTTGGGGAACATGGCTTTGTGGTTCGCCTTTTCCTGCTTGGCCTTGACTTCCCAGACGCGTTTCTCCTCGAGGGGGAGTTGGCGCCAGCAGTTGCCTAAGAAAGTCGTATGATATGTCAATATATGCGCATATACGGACGAGAAAAGCGAATATATGCTCACCGATGATCTTGGATAACGAGCCGTGGTTCGTCTCGATCGACCCGGGGACATGCTTCTGCCTTACAAAGTCCGCACGGAAGAGCATAAACGCGTTGGGCGGGCGCGGGATATAGCCCTGCGAGCGGCGCTTGCCTGGCGGGCAGCGCTTCCTCGCTGGGGGCGGCGCGGGGGTCTCTGACGGCGGGAAGAGGGCGGCGGTGGGCGAGGAGGCTTCTGGGGAGGCTGGGAGGTCGTCGTCGGGCTCGACGTAGGTGACGGGGGTGACGTTGGGCGCGAAAGTGACTGGCCGGGCTTGGATGCCGTAGATCCCTGCTTTCGCGGGTGTAACTGAGGTTCGGACTCGTTAGTTGAGGTTTAGATGGGATAGAAGGGGAGCTGGGCCGTACAGAGGGTATGCGAAGACTTTCTTCTAGCACGGGTAAGGCGTACGGCTGGCATATCGATAATCGTGAATCTGGCTGGTGTCTATAGTCGGATCGTAGCTGAGATTAGGATACAAGTCAGGCGGGTGGGAAGGGAGCGGGTTGCCAGCCAAAACGAGCGGACAAAAGAGAGGGAAGCGGGGAGCGGGGCGGGGAATCTCGCCTCGTCCCATTGTTCTCCCCTCTTATACCCCGATAACGCTGATGCTCGAAGGACATGATGCCTGCCAGGGACCCCAAACGCCCCTTCCCATCATTTTCCCACACTCTCCAGGCTGTGCGCGTCCGTTTATTCTCCCGCTTCTTCTCCCTCTTGTCCAAACGCACACGCACAGCCCCGCTCGCTACCCCCCTTCTCCTCCCTCCATTCCCTCTCTCGCTACTCTCAGCGCACACTCGCTCGACCGCGAGCAAGCGAAGGATATTTCGGGGTCCCAGCTGTCTTCGTTCTGGCTCGCTTCCCAGGGTGCCAAATCGGTGCACCCCCTTGTCGACCAAATATAGGACATCCTTTATGCCCTCTTGTTCTGAACGAACCTTCCTCGAAGGGAGGTAGTGTGACCTCCTTCCCATGCGCCCGGACGCCCCAGCCGTCCATCTCGTCCAAGGAGAAATTCCTCCAATCGGCCTGCCTTGAGCGTGCTTCCTCCGCCGTTCCGTCTTTCTGGCCAGACCTCTGGGTGGCGTATAGACGTGGCAAATTCGATTAACGAGGCCCGAGCAAGTTCTCCGACGGAGGGCGTTTGCGCTGCTATCTGTCTGTGCAAATAGAGCGATGCGCGTGTGGACGAATGGGTATACCGCACTCTATCATACCATCCCATTTGCATCACTCGAACCTGATCGACACTCTGTGTGCGAGTTCACAAATAACTCTCCATACCTCTCGGTCTCTCTCACTCTTCACGCTACGCACACTCCAGCCTGTGCACGTCGTTACCCGACTTAACCGTCATCATTCCTAGACCTCAGCGCCTACGAACAAACGCTTCGCTTCTAAACCTCGAGGACCTCAAGAACAAACCCCAGGACGTATTGGTATTCTTCGGGTCTTCTGGCCGCATCGTGCACAGGTCCATGAATCCGAGATCACCAAAACACTCTTCTAACCTCCAATGATCCAAACCCAATCACACGCGGTGCGGGTTCAGAATATCTAGACTTACATACGGCACCCACATACGTACCCCACGCCCAACATCCGAGTTTAATCTATCACCCGTTCGTCCTAAGTATACTGAGGCATCATGCCCTGGTTAGGTTCTCCGACCACGGACGGAATTTATCACTTGGCCGTTCAATCAATCCATGACGGTATGAGCATCGGTCTTCGAGGGAATTTGGCCGTGCAATCATCATCGAGTCCCCGCCTTCGCCTTCGTATGTTCTACTCAAGACAGTAAATCCCCGCCCCCAAGGTCCCATCGATCGATCATCCCGCCTCCTACTGCCTCCTCCAGCGCCTATGACCCGCCTCCAAGGACCCCATCGATCGATCATACCGCCCTCTACCACCACCTCTTAACATATCAACGACCGGAGTGCTCACGATGACGTCCAATCACCAACCCACCGGTGACGATATGTCCCCAGCTTCAAGGTCCTCCATCGTTCGATCATACTGCCTCCTCCAGTGTCCAGTGTCGATGACGTCCCGCCCACTGACAGTGGCTGTTCAACAGAGATTGACTGGCAAATCATCGACTCTAAGCCTTCGTATGTGCTAAGTACGTCTCCGCCTCCAAGGTCCCCCATCGATCGATCATACCGCCTCCTACCGCCTCCTACCACCTTCTACTCTCTCCTACCGCCTCTTTGTAGTGCCAAAATATGACGTACCGCCCATCACCCACCGCCTCCTACCATCCTCTCTCTTCTTCTGCTGTTGCTGCTTGTACAGTGCAAGTTCTAAGTTTAAGCGCTACAGCCTCCTCCTCTAGTACTCCCTGCACACCCTCGTCGCTCGTTGCTACAGGATGAGGTTGAAATCAAGGTTAGCGCTTCTCCCGTTGGGCGCGGTAGATCGACACTCTCCCTCTGCGGGTTTGGCGTCTGTTTTATCTAGGAACAAACTACGAAGGGCAGGCGTCTACTGGACGCGACACGGTGTAACCAACTTCAAAGGCGCTGTGCCGCACCTTCGAGTGCGAGTGACGTACCGTCCATCACACGCCGCCTCCTCCCTTCTTCTGCTGCTTGTGCGGTCTAAGTGCTAAGTTTGGGCGCTTATAGCCCCCCGCACACCCTCGTCTACAGTCCCTCGTTACTACTTATGCCTCTCCTCGAACCAAGACTTCTCCCTGGATTGGCCCCTCTGTGGTTCTGGCGTCTGTTCCGGGAACAAACTACGAGCTGTCCTGGTGGTGCATCCTCCAGTGCGAATGACGTACCGTCCACCACTCGTCTCCTCCCTTCTTCGGCTGTTTGTACTCGAGCTCTAAGTTTAAACGCTACTGCCCCAGCACCCACAGTCCCTCGTTGCTACTGTACGAAAGGCTTCTCCCGCCTGACACGGCGGATTGCTCTCGAGATAGAGGATATTCTAGGAAGAAAGTAAGTAACAAGTGCTGCTAACTACTGGACGCGGCATGATTGTCTTGTCTTCGGCGCCCACAGGTTACAGTCTAGGACAAACGGACAAACGTATGACATACATACCACTTCCTGAGTTGGACTGGTACTGGATTGAATTGACAGTGTACGTACGACCCTGTCTCTCGCTTGGAATTTGAACGTGCACGTAATTACGACCCCAGTCTCCAGATGGCGACTCGAAGAGGAAAGGCGCCCTCAAGCAACGTACGCGCGTCCCTTATCACGACCCAGCGTGCGGCCCTTGTCTAAACGCCCACAGTATTTACCCTGAGTAACCCACTTCTTCGCCGGCGGCTTGAGGGTTGATCAGCGCCCATTCTCCCTTGACTTACTCCCAAATGCCGAGATTAGATAAAGCGAGAACTAGGCGACACGCTAGGCGCCGTAGCTCTGCCCTTGTTCTCCAAAAGCCTCCCATCATGGATGTTGGACGATCACCACGCCTCTCTCGCCAACACTTACGGAACGAGACCAGTATTGCGCATTAGCACTCCGGAAATCGGACATTGGGTACAATATATGTAGCTCTTGACATTTGAAGTTAGCGGTAACTCGGCCCGGAAAGGTAAACACGATCACGTGTAAACATTGAACGCGTCTCAGATGGCTTGGCATCTCTCTCTTTCATCACCACATCGACATCGGTGAGCGTTGCAAAAGAGGCAAGGTTTTCTGTGACTGATTGTATTTTACTGTCATTTTTTCTCTACGACGTCGACCAACCACGCTTCTAGGACGGCGCAGCGATTGCCTAGTGAGGTTGTCCCATAAGCTCGAAGATGCCTCCTCTGTCGAAGAGTTTAAGCAGATATTTCTCGACTGTCTTGAAGGTAAGTTCTGAATCTTCTCTATTGTCGTAATTGTGCACAACACTCCTGCTGCCTAGGTCATTACTGCGCGTACACCGGTGGCCAACGGAGAATAAGTAAAAGAAATAGGTTATATACATACTCGTGACGAGACGGTGGCGCTAGAGGCACGGGCGCTAAATAAAGCGGAGTCGGCTGTGTTTGCCGTCTATATTCCAACGAAATGGTTTAGGAGCTGTCGAGGTGGTGAGGATTCCTGTATTTACCCAATGAGAGTTCGCATCCGTATCGCAGATGGGGTTGCAGCAGATGGGTTGCTTCGAGTTGGGGCAGTACTTATATATAACCGTGAAGGCCTTGCCTCTCACGGCGTTCAAATCAAGTTCGAGTTTCACGAAAACCTTTTCGTTTCCTTTTGAGGTCTCACAAGTCTCACGAAGTCCCACGAGTCTCACAAAGTATCAAGTCTCATGAGACTTTCCATTCCACGTTCGTCCTCACAAGAGGGCGACATCGCTATGTTACAGTTACTCTGCTTAGAGTGTTTCAATCGCAAGCCAGAACGCAAATCAGCGAAGCTGCGATAAATGCGAATTCATACAACTCACCGTCACCACAAACCACGTCGGTCGTATCTAGAAACTCCTATGTAACACGCTCGATATTCGGGGCTTCACCAGGATGGTCTTCCTGAATTCTCGTCGTTGACTTGACCTTCCAAAGTGAAAATTCATACTCCTTGTACCCTAGATTTTCAGGTGACGGAAGGTTATTCAGCATCAATCTAACATGAGATGCAACAGGCTGATCCCCTCCATCCGCAGACCAACGAAAGAGGAGGCGTGGGTGGTGTAAAAGTAGGCCTCGCTACAGCTCTTCCCATCCGCGAGGCATGAAAGCATTGTCTTGCATAGCTTCGCGGCGCCGATCGCGTATCAGATGGATGCAAATACGAGGATCTCGAAAAAGTACTTGGGTTAGAATTCGGATTAACTTAGGTACGAGTATGATACAGCAGGGTGAAGACAAGTACACATGGACAAAGACGAATCAATATTGGCATGGCTTATGAAGGGGTTATAGAAAGAAGGAAAGCCCTTTTAAAGGAGTTACAGTTACAGCGGTCGCTTGCCGTCCGAGTTGCGAGGCTTAACCTTGATCGCTGCCATAAACTTCTCGAATGTGATGCGATTGTTGAGAGTCACGAAGTCATACTCTTTGTACTCAGGTTCCCAGGTTCCAGGGACATCGTTGCGGGCTTTCATAAACATGGCGTAGAGAGGAATAATCCACTCGTCCCACAGGCCCTTGAAGTGGTCCAATATAGCAGCATTGACGTGCTGAAGACCACTAGGTGTGAAGAACACGCATTTTTTGTCGTACGCGGTGTCACTGTTGCTCCAGGCGGCAAGACATGCCGGAACAGGCAAGCACTTTCCCTTATCGAATGTGTACCGAGTCGACGCGAATACGAGGATATAGAAGAAGGATTCGAGGTCGTGGCGATAGTAGTGAGAAGGCGGCACATACTGGACGTGAGGGTTCCGTGGGACAGGTTGGCTGAGGAGGTCGGTGGCCATGTAAGGCAGTGTACCGGTGCGATGATTGGCGT